TCGCCATGGCTATTTTCAGTTTGGGGAATCGATGTGATCGGGGCTGTCACTCCAAAGGGGTCTAACAGGCACGAGTTCATCCTGGTCGCGATAGATTATTTCACGAAGTGGGTTGAGGCCCAATCCTATGCAGTGTTGAAGGCGTCGCATGTTGCAAAATTCATCAGAAACAACATCATCTGTCGTTATGGGGTCCCAAACGAGGTCATTTCAGATAATGGTTCCCACTTCAAGAAGGAAGTGATTGACTTGTTGGAGAAATACAACGTGGCTTTTCATAAGTCGTTTACATATCGGCCGCAAACCAATGGAGCGGTCGAGGCCGCCAACAAGAATATCAAACACATATTGCAGAAGATGGTGGAAACCTACCGGGATTGGCCAGACAAGCTGTCGTTTGCTCTGTGGGGGTACCGGACTTCAATTAGAACTTCTACTGGGGCGACTCCGTATTCATTAGTTTATGGGATGGAGGTCGTTTTACCTATTGAAATTGAGGTTCTGTCTCTGCGAGTGCTGGCTGAGTATCAGATAGCCGAAGCAGATTGGCAACAGAGCAGATTTGAAGAACTCATGTTTTTTGACGAGCACAGACTGAAAGCACTGTACCATGTTCAAGGTTATCAGCGCAGAATTGCCAGGGCTTTTAACAAGAAAGTTAAGTCTAGGAATCAAAAAGAAGGAGATTTGGTGCTTAAGGATAATCGAGCTCCCATCCACGACCTGAGGGGCAAGTTCGGACCTAATTGGACTGGTCCCTACATCATCAAGTCTATCTGGTCAGGTGGAGCTGTGGTTCTAATGGACCTAGATGGCCTAGAGTTCTCAAAACCGATCAACATGGACAAGTTGAAGAAATATTACCCCTGAGAGGCTCGCTAGGCCGAAAACCCGAAAGGGCGACCTAGGAAAAAGTTAGAGCACAGAAAATTGGAAAATATAAAAACTGAGCTCGCAAGGTTGAAAACCCGCAAAGGGCGGCCTTGGCAAAAGTTAGAGCGTAAAAGGAGAGTGAAAATACTCGAGTGAACCTAAGCCTGAACTACGTAAGGCTTGATTCCAATCTTTGGGATACGTAGGGCTCTCCGAATTCGATTTGAAATATGTAACACGCAAGTCAGTCAAGGGAAGAGCAGTGACAGAGTTCTTAGCCGATCATCCAGTGGAAGGAGGTGAAGCAGTTGAGTACTTATTCCCAGATGAAGCCATTTTGCACATCGACGACGA